TTTTTTTTTTAAATCAACAAACAAAATGTTAACAAAATAAGGTCTCAGAAAAGAATATTAAATTACTAGCTAGTGCTAAAAATACTTTTAATTTTTCTTTTAGTTTTATATTTAATTTAATTTTTATCAAGAAAAAAAAAATATTAAAACAAATAAAGTGGAGCATATATACCAATGTATAATAGGTTGAGTGAGGTAAAGAGGTTTCCAACTCCAGACAGTATCCACAGGAAAGCTATTGCCTGAAAACAAATGGAGTAATGTATAAATAACAGTGTTGTAAAAGTCGCTATGCGCTGGACCAGTGCTTAGTCGAGGTCTGTAAATTAATATTAAATATTTTATTTTTTTTATTTATTTTAACTAACTATAAAATAAATTATCTCAACTTAGAATAAATCCACACACCTAAATCTAAATAATAATATTAATATATTTGAAAGAAAAATAAGAACAAAATAATATAATTAGCATTAAAAAAAAATGAAAATTGTCGCCGAGCCCGTCTAGACGCCGCCTAACCGCCAGATCGCCCAGCCCGCCAAGTCCATCTAGGAGCGCCTAGGCGCTGCGTGGCCGATTTTTTCGATCGATTTGTGCAAATCAAAGGCGGCCGAACACCGCCTAAATAGGTGCCTAGTCTTATTTTTAGAACAGTGGTATATAACAGGGAATTAACAAAAGAAACATTATTGATAAAAAGTGGTAAATTACTAAATTAGACAATTGACATGTTTTGAGAATAGCATAAATAAAAGTCTAATATTTTTTAAAGAAAATATATATTTTTATTTATGACCGAATCAATTCGTGATGACATAATTACCGAGGTAAATGGTAATTAGTAATTAAATCATTTGATTCTATTTTTCGTATCAGAAAATTACCAGGAAAAAGGTCTTTAAATCTTTCCCGGATGAAATTTGATAGAACTTTAACAACAGTTTATTGATTTCTGCTAGAAGCCAACGGACCGTAGATTCTGGGATAGTGATTGCTCTAACATCAGGTGGATTCCTGACAATAAATACACAGAATTCAAAGAAAAAATTAGTTATGATTTTTTCATTTAATTATTTTATTAAAAAAAAATAAGATTATTACAAAAGGTTGTAATAATAATGGAAAAATCTATAGTCCCCTCACAGAATAGTCCCTTGCGGAACCATTCCGTGACGAGACTGCAGTTTTTTCGAATAATAATATTGGTTACCAATCAACGATTCCAGCTCCAGAAGACCATATGAATAAAACGAGCATAGCAATTATTGAAATGTGACAGATTAATGTGATAAAATTATATTCCCCAACTTCGAATAAGGACCATATCACTGTGGACCCAATCAGTATTGCAGCTGATAATTTTGGGTTCTTCCATAACAATATGTCAGCAGCTGCATAAATATATATATTTAATTATGAGCAAAGGTTTTAATTAATTGTGAATGGTTTTTTAGAATTTTAAACAAGTCTAATGTAAGTGAAAAATGCTACAGTAAGTAATAAATGTACATAAAGGTGTACGTAACACTTATTTGGAGTGGGTTCGTCTTTTTTATTTTATTTTAGTAGGACCCACTTATGTGAGTATTATCTACAGCTCTATGTGCAGTATTACATACTTATAGCATTTCACAATGAAATTATCATAACATTACCTTTGCCTCCTCCAAGAATGGCGTGCAGTGGTTTCTGATCGGTTCTGAAAAATCTCCTTGTAGAAGTAGGCGTATAGTCGTCGGAATCTGAGGAGAATTTCGACATTTTAATTATCTTCACGCTTTTCGTTCGAACCTGAAAAGAATATTAGTTGATTGATGTTTTCCAATTCTTGATCACAACCTAAATGGATATGTGTACATTGATTTTATATAGAAGTTATATATATACCAATACGTTGCAGACAAGGAAAGGAACTTAATTTGTAGGTTGAAAGAAAGGAATGGCTTGGACATGTATGGGGAGACAACCTCCATCTGTGGCCAATCTATTTAATTTTGCAAATTCTTGCTGGATTTTTTAACAAACTAAGAAATACAAATAAATATTACAATGAGCTCTTGAAAGAAAAAGCCCAAGGTAAATAATTGGGCCATGTTAACTGCCAAACATAATGTTATATGATGGGCTTAATAAGTTGGGGCAAGTAAAAAGAAAAAATTACTCTATTCATCTTGCTGAAAAAATAATTTTTTTTTTTTTTTTAATATTCCATACATGAAATAGTGAGCCTACATAATTTAATATGGGATTAACTGCTTTATTTATATATTCCACAGACCCCCGTCGCTCGATCCGGCGAGACACACGGCGGTGCCTGCACCTGGCGGTCGGAGAACTTGTACCACACGATATATCGTACAGTACGAATGCTGCATGCAGACCTTCTACCACCCGACGGTCCACTGCCTGCCATCGCTCGCCTCCGCCGCCACAATCATACTATGTTCGAACTTCCGCTACAGAGCAGCAATGGCCGTCGGAGGCCCATGCCGGACGAATTGAGTCAGGAGGGCAGTGAGCGACGGGAAGTTACCCAATAAGATTAGAATATTGGGATTTCTTTTTGAGAATTAGATAGTTTGAGGGGCCTTTTTGCAATTTTATTAATTTTGGTTATTTTCAATTTAGTTCATAGGCAAATCTGTAATTTTTGAAATTATATATAAAAAATTATATTATATATTATTATACACATTTAAATATTATATTTTTTTAACCAAAAAATTGTATATAATTAAAAAAAAGATACTAAGTATATTTTTATAATAATAAAAAAATGAAAATAAAATGAAATACTAAGTATATATATATTTTTTTTGGTATAGGGACCTTCTGGTTTCCGGATCCACAGGGGAACCGAGTAATCCGGAATCGAACCGGGTAGGACCACAAGGGCGGCAAAGCTCTCCCTCAAGAGTTTTAACACTGCTGCATTCCCAGGGCCCTCGAACACGAGACCACTGGTTAAGCTGGAAGAGACCCAAGCCATCTCATTCAAGCGCTCTTGGGTTAATACTAAGTATATTTTTATAATAATACACACAATATATCTCGGATCATATAAAATACTTTATATACCATCACGATGCACTTTATAAAAATACGTATCTATACTTATATAAAAAGACATTCTAATTACTAGAATTAGTAGAGTAAGAAAAGTCAAAGGTAATTAATGCATTCTATTTCTATCAAATATTTTATTTAATTATTTTAGTTAATTGTTTTATCTCATAACACATATTCAATACAACTTACCATGATTTTTCTATTGTGATTAAAAACCAAATTTTATGTTTAAAATATTGTGAAATTACTATTATTATTTTTATAAAGCACATATTATTTGTTAAAAAATTGTATATATATATATATATATATATATATATATATAATCTACATCACAGTACCATGATAGATGATTTAAATTTCAACCGACCAAAATGCCAATGATTTAAATTTGAACACACCTATGCGTTTGACCAAATGTCTGGATGATTTAAAATTGAGTCCATAAAAAATTATTCAAATTTGAACACACCAAAAATTTTATGTACTTTTTATTTATAAATATATTGAAAGTGGTATTTAATGGCTGTTATATAAACTATTTTAATATATTTGCAATGAATAAAAGTTTGAATAATAATTCGTATGTTATTCATAATGTTTGTGATTTATAAGACACGAACACATAACTCCATACATATTTGCCAGAGGGCGGCTTAATAAT